ATAAGTGGACAGTTCTCGTTAATAGTAATAAACGTGAGATTCATCTTTGCTCCAATTAATGTGGTTTCACCACCAGTACACGAAGCAGCAACTTTTGAGTTGTGTTTCTTCACTAAGAAGTACACCAATAAGAATACAAAGATAATGATCAATATGAGAATAACACCAATAACGATCGGAGTAATGACTGCGGCGTAATTAAAGTCTTTTTGACATTCATTTCCATTTTCATTGAGTGAATACCCATCATTGCACTTCGAACACTTCTGAGATACATCATCATAATATGTACACTGAGATAATTGCTGCCATGGGACACATGCAGTGTTTTTATATACATAATCATCAATACACTTCTCACATGAAAGCCCATCTTTGCATATCTTACACCCATCCCCACACTTATCACATTTCTTATAATTGTTTCTGTAATAAAACTCGGAACAAACAGCACACCCGTCACTCGTAACTTTGTCACAATTTCCAAGTGTCGTTGAAGAAAGGCAAACAACAGAACTTAACGTCGACGTATTGAGGTCTTGGTAATACCCATTTTTGAACGAACAACGCGTGCAATTATCTAAAGAACCATAACAAACCTCACACGCTTCGTTACATGCAAAACAATTTGAATCTTTCAAAATGTACCCATCTTTGCAAACAGCACACTTGTCACCACCTGGAAGGAATGTCTGACATGTAGTTGCAAGTCCTTCTAATATAACACATGCGCCACTCGAGTTATAATACCCAAATCCACACGTCACACAATTACTCGACGAGTCATAACATTTGCCACACTGTGGACTGCATGGCTTACACATTGTGCCTGATACATAATACCCATCAGCACACTTTTGGCAACCTGTCACCCCATTTATAACACAAAGTGTTGTTGAAGTTGTTGTGGCTACATTCAACTCCTTCAAACAGACATTAGAACCAGATGATGAGTCCAAAGTGGCATCGGAAATACATTGCATGCAGGCGTAACTGTTTGCATACGAACACATCGAAATGGATATTTTGGTGCATTTCTTTGTGACATCAAGTTGATACCCCTCAGTACACACTGTACATGTCGAAGTTTGAGGGTCAACAATGACACAATTAACTTCAGATTTAACTCGACACACCCCATTTTCTAAGACATAGTTTTCTAAGCATTTTGTACAATATGGTATTTCAGTTGAAGAGGCTATTCCAAAAAGACAATAATGTTCTTGAAGTGATTTGCATGTCCCATTTTTGAGGAAGTAATTTTCATGACATATATCACACCCACGCAATGCAGTATGGGCACAATCACCTACAGGTACACAAGCTCCATTCTTATCAATAACATTGCCATTACGACATATCAAACACTCATTTTGTGAGACACATTTGTTGCAATCAGATGAACATAACTTACATGGAACAGTCTGGTCATTTGACATGTAATACCCATCTTTACACGACAGACATCGACCATATTTCTCTGCGTAACACCCTTCGAATTCACTTTTGAAATTCAAATGAACGACATTTTGAAGTGTTTTATATGAAACTCTGTACGAAACAAAATTGATATTATTTGAATGGTATTGCTCAAATAAATTCGCTGTTTTTGGAACAGTTTCAATATAAGGTACACACTTATCTTCACCACTTGTCTTGAGATAAAAAGAACACGTCTCTTTTCTTACAATTCCAGAACAACTACCTGTGTTTGAAATCGAATTGGAACACTCATAACACCCAAATCCATATTTGTATTTCTGGCAATACTCATCATTTGTATAAGGTATCAATTCCCCGTTACGGGTGGTGTACGATTGACTCTTCGTGTAAAAACAGAAGGTAGAAGAGTTACACGCATTACACCCAACAGAACACATGACAATGTTTCCAGATGAATCCGTGATACCAGCCGTCTGTAAACATCTGTTGTTTAAAAGGGCATATCCATTCATACAACTTAAACATAACAATTTTGATGTATCGTATGTACTTAACGCATCGTCCGTTGTGTAATTGCATTGATAACATCCGTATATCTTTTGGGTACAATATTGTATTAAATTGTATGCGCGTTTGTAACACCCAGAAGGTACATCAACACAACTGTTGCCGTGGGTTTGGTCTTCATATTGATTTTTACCACAATTGGAACTCACCATTTTTAAGTGTTTCGATTCTGAGTTCTTTATAGTTTTATTTGTATCTAAAACATACTGAATGACATCATTGGAATTAAATGATGTGGTTTGGATTAAAATTTTTGATAAAATATTCAGTGTGTTTTCTGGTGTTACGATTACTCGAGTTGATGATTTGTGTTGTTGTTTCTTTATCGTGTTTGTTGTTTGAGTTGAATTTGTATAAATTGTGGGTTCAACTTTATTTGGTTTTGTATCGTTCATTTTACTTGGAATAGAGTCAACTTTTGTTGGAACTACAGTTTGATTTTTGTTATTGTCTGAAAGTACTATGTGTTCACTTTCTTTGTTAATAATTTGAATAATTTCGTCACTGTTTTTCGATTTAATATTAATAAAAAATTGACCATGTTTGTAATAATTTTCTTTGGTGTTACTACTAATTAACTTCTTTTTGTGTTGTATTTCTTTGTCCATATAATTTTGAATTGACTCACCTTTTTTTGTTATTTTATTTTTTATAATTTGTGTTCTATTTCTGTTTTTCTCACTATCAAATTGTTTTAAGTGTGTGTTCATTGATTTGGAAATGGCTTCAGTAGTTGTTTTAAGAGTACAATTTCCGTCGAAGATCATATAAGGATCGCTACAATTTGTACATACCGTCTCATTGGTACAAGTGTCACAATTTGGTATGAAAGTTGAGCATTTAACACAATTGCCATTCTCCATTTTGATGTAATTATCAAGACATTTTGTACAAATCAATAGATCTGTGCATTTTTCACACCCTTCTAAACATATAACACACGTATTATAAGCTGGAGGGTTTTTATTTGAACATTTTGTACAGGTGTCAATTGTTGTACATTCTATACAATTGGCAATTTGAGTATCACAAACTTTACATTCATTTTTATTATATACGCCATACCCAGTTTCACATAGTGTACAAGAATCCAATGAATTGCATTCTTTGCAAAGCGCCATCGTGGTATTACACCGTTTACACATATCATTATCTAACACGTACGTTGATTTTTCACAACCAATACATGTTCCATCTTGATTACATTCATTACATCCTTCTTTTCCTCCTTTTGCTGTATCATTACAAGCAACACAACTTTGAAGACCATCACCAGTGTATAATATTTTATTGCTTGAACACTTAGTGCACATCGTTAATGAACTGCATTCACTGCATCCAGATGGACATAAAGTACATTGTTTATTGCCATCAATGAAATATCCCACTGAACATTCAGCACACTCCGTCCCGGAATTACACGTTTTACATTGTGGAATCATGTCAGAACATCCAACACATTTACCATTCTTTAAATATGAAGGCAAATTACAGTCTGTACATGTCGTGCCACTCGAACATTTTGTGCAATTTGTTGTTAACGTGGTCGAACATACTCCACATTTTGAATTGGAATTAATATAATATCCATCGCTGCAAGTTGTACATACAGTACCACTTGTACATGCTGTACACCCAGCCATTATTTCTCCACATGCAAAACACTTTGTACGATCAGTGTCTTTCAAATATTTATTATTTATACATTTCGTACATTCTGTACCAGAATTACAAGTCTCACAATCAGATATTACTGATGAGCAAAGAGCACATTGACCACTATTAGGGAAATATTTTGTTAAACATGTTGAACAAGTCGTGTTGGAATAACATTTTTGACAATTTGTGATGATTGATTGACATGTTCCACATTTGTTGCTGGTGTTTACAAAGTATTGTTCAGTGTCTGAAATTATTTCACAATTTGTGCATTTGTCATAAGAAGAACACTTAGTACAATGAGGCATGTACGTATTACATAAGGAACATTGTGATTGATCTGAAGACA